TAGAATCCGACATAACCCCAACTCTGACCGAACTCTGAACTTTCTCTGAAATCGTGGAAATATTCAAGAGTTCAACTCTGAAGTCAGTCCGCTAGGGAGAGTGGGAAAAAATGAGCTTCAGATTGGAATAAAAATTGTGTGCTTTTAGACACTCTCGCTCTCCCTCTCTCTCTCTCTTTCTCTTTCTCTTTCTCTGTGGCTTCGCTCTCCACACATGCATACGCTCTCACAAACAAATTCGAATTTCCAACAGTCATTACGAAAATTTCATTGTCTCCCTTAGATTGCGGGATATTCCTCAAAAACTCAGCTGAGGCCAAAATCCACTTAAACCGTTTCACCACTTCACTACTGAATTGAGAAATAAAGAATGAGTTGAATTCTAAACCGATTCTTTACAACAACAAAAAACGCAAAACAATGTAGTTCACGCGGATTATACAAAAAAAATCCTTAAATATTCTATATTCAATAGCCCTTTTCATCCTGAAGGTCCCTAAATTTTTGTACACTTTTTTGCCATGTTAATTCCCCTATGAATTTTGGGCACTTTTATAAAAAACTGAATTTCACTTATGAAAAAATTCAATATTAAAAAACTAGCGAATTCGCTTGACAATTCCATTGGATTTATATTAAACTGTCTATTAGTTTTTGACCGATTTTGTACAACTTATTCTCTTGAGATACTTTTTATAGAATTCCCTTGTCTCAAATTTTCCATTTTCTTGTTCGATTTTTTTTAATGAAAAAAGAAAAATAGAATGAAAATACTTGAAAAATTCAAGCCCAGGAAATTCTATAGAATATACCTGAACAGAATTAGCTGTATAAAATAATCTAATCCTATTGAATGTTTCAAGAGGAATCCAATAAAATTGCCTATCAAATTTGGTAGATTTTTCTATTGATTTTTTTCGTGCGTATTATAAAGAAAAATCTCATGTTTGAGGAAAAAAATTAGAAAAATTACCTGATCAGTGAATGAAATCTGCTGATGTAGAGTAGCTGGGTCGATGACATTGAAACATCCAATACGACTTTGAAATCCCGAATCATGAATACTCGTAACAATTGTACTGCAAATGCCCAGAAATTGATACGAATTTATGCTCTCGAGTGTGCCACGTTCGATCTTAACTTCACCATTAGAATAAGAGAAGCTGAACAGCATTGAGCCATTGAATATTTGTCGAGGATAATCACAGGACTGCTCGCATATGAATCTCAGCCTCCCACTCTGCGAATCCAGGGAAAACCTCGACAAGAGAGTTCGTTGATTATCACTATCAGCAATTCCAACGTAAACGTTATTGTCATTATAACAGGTATTGTCCTCATAACCGATTAACGAGTCTATGTGACTAGGGCAGGATGAACCGTCGTAGGAGTTCTTTTTCACTGTCTCCCACTCGTCCAGGAGTGGATTGTAAAAGTAAAAATTTGTCTTAAAGTAAATTAATTTTCCATCTACGACACAGGATGCAGGTACTTCGGTGAACATTTCAGGTATCTCAGCAGCTTTTGACCACAGCCCCGTGTGAACATCCAACACGTCCACACTTGACAACTTCAAACGGTGCTGGCCGATCCCACCGATCAGGTACAGTTTATTTTTTATAAATGCCACAGCCATGTGTCTCCTTGGCCTCGGCATTTCAGCAACGGAGAACCACGTTTTTGAGAGCAAACAGTATCGCCAAATTGTTTTGGTGAAACGACCTGAGCCTAGTCCTTGTTCACCACCTATTACGTAGATACTGAATCCTGAAATTATTTTTTAATCATTATTTTTTGCTTTTGATTGGAAGCATTATGTTCGTCACATTCGAAATTTCCAATTTTTGGGTCAGGATAACTAATTTTCACTCAAAGAGTTTATTTTTAGACCATTGAAATGAATCCAATTGTAATTTAAAATATTCTTCCCAATGCCATCTTGATTAATTTCGAGCGTGAGATTGATTGCATGATCTGTTGTTGAAAAAATTTATTGTGAAATCAGTATTTATAGGCCAATCAAATAAGGACTTTTTTTCGGCCGAAGTCAAGGATGATAGAAGAAGGATAAAAATCATGAGATATCATGTGGAAGAATGATATGAAACACATAATAAGTTTTTGGGATTGTAGCAAACCGGGAAATTGTTTAAAAAAATTGAAAACTGCAAAATTAAGCGTCCACGCGACCTTTTTTGCTTTACTCCGACGAAACCGTGATAGATAGGATAAAAATGCATAAGACTCAATTTGTAGAGCATGAAATTTCCTACAAAAAAGTCAATGGCAGCATTTTCGTAATTTCAACCGTCAAGCCGCCAAGCGCGCTTAAAGTTGAACTACGAAAAAGCTCATTCGCCGCCAACGCCGAAAAGTCCATTTTAGTTGCAAAATGCAAATAATTTATGAAAAAGTTGATTAAAAAATCTGAAAAAAATCAGGATGCATCTTGACCCTCCACAAAATGTCTCCAGGAGAGAAAATTTTTTTAAAAACATTTTTCAATTTTTCAGGAGTCCCCATTTTTTTCTTTTATTTTCATTTTTCAACCAAAATTTGCCATAACATAACTTTTGATCCAGCTATCTTATTGGGATAAGAACAAAAGGTGATTTTTTCTCGTTCTCTCCTCTTCATTTTCACTTAACCTTTTCACTCAACTTTCATATTTAACTTATTTGTTGATAAACTAAAAAAATTGCTGTTTTTTCAATATATAATCTGACTGGAAAAATTTTTGATCAAGCTCGGTAGCTTTATCCCAAACTTGAGTCATTGAGATCAATCTTGAATGTTTAATATTTTTCTTAACATTTGTTAACGTAGATTTTTAATAATACAAATAGGCAATTGCTTTCAACTGTGTCAATTATGGTGCCTGTGTTTGCTAATGAATTAGCAATATGCTTCCGAATGGATATTGGCCAAGAATTTTAGAATTAGAAGATGCGTGGCTGGTCACTTAAAGCGCCCAGAGTCACCTAAATCATACGATCTTTTGTAACATCCGTCTTAGTTTCGATCAGTCACACAGCCCCAGCCCTGTGTTTCTCACTAGGCTAATAAGGCTGGTGACAGCCGCTTGTTGTAAGTCCTCTGGTTCCAAGAAAGCCTGGCCCCAGATTTTACAGCGACGGAGGGCTAATAGGGGGCATTCACATAAAATGTGGATGACGCTCTCCTTATCACCTCCGCACAGTCTAGTCTGCATCCCAGCTAATAGCCTGACTAGAGTAGCCGAGGTTGCTTTGCTGTGATGCAAATTTATCTGTACAATGTGCACCCAGGTTGCAGCCATAATGACTACTTTCCTGGTACCTCTATGTACCCTTCTTCTGACTTTCACCACGGTCTTTCGCAAGCAGCTTGACAGTTGCTTTTTCAATCCCGCAGTGCAGTCTGAAGTTGCAGGCTTTCAGAACAGAGTGATCGGTTGTCTATCAGCGCAACGAAGTGGGCACTTTTCGCGTCCCTGCTCTCACTGCCCCGAGCGACAACCCACTCTCTGGCCTGCAGTCCTGCATTCTGTTTCTCAAGGAAGCACAGTGCTTCTTGACCGGTTAGATCTGGGTTTTCCACGCGTGCCACAACCCTGTGCTTCTTAGGAAGCTCCGAGGCTGCGACCATATGTACAGTAAGCCCAGCTATTTTGTTTTCGGGGAAAAGGCTTTTCAGCCAATTTCCCGTTTCCTCATCAGTGCAGTACACCATTGCCACACCTTCTCTTTCCCAGACACCGTTGAAGGTGGGTGCTTTCACCCCGTCAGGTAACGCCAGAATGGCCCCCTTCAGGAGTTTCTTCACCTCCGTTACCTCTTCAGTGCCCAGTTTCTGATCAGGATATGACTCCGGTATAGCTGCAAACTTGAATGAGCTCGCAGTATTCTGAGCATATGTGCCCTGATCCTGCGTTCTCATTCTCTTTTCTTTCGGTCTGACTGAGGGGCTTGGCGTGGTACGCTCCGATGGAAGGCGTTTTATAGCCTTCCTCACAGCCCCCTCCCCCTTCCCCTCATCGACCTTCGCTGCTGCATCCGCCAAGGTTGCAATTGCCCCCGAGGTTGGATGCAGCTTCGCTCTCTTGCGACGTCTTCTCTCGGCTCCACTCAGTCTGACCTGATTCACATCGGCACCAGACTGGTCAGCCTTGTCAGACTTCGTGTGTTCGCCATCGCTGGCCCCACCCGAAGTTTCTTTTTCAATACTGAGATTTTTTAGATTGGTTTCCATTTTTAGTCCCACGAGTACCGCGGTTAAGCGTTTTCACCTGGTGCATTGCCGCGATTGCCCAGGGCTTGGCTTGTCTCGGGAGGGTTACACCCAAAGAGGATAGACCTGAGTAGAGGCCCGGATCGGGGGGTTTGACTGACTCCAAAAATGTTAGATGGTACCCCACGGGAAAGGGGGCGTCCCGGTCGAATTGTCGGTAAATGTGAGTCGGGTGCGTAACTCGGCAGTAGCAGTCCCGCTGTGACAGGGACAGCTCGGAGGGGGATTTTCGTCCTCCTTGTACTCAATGTTTACTTTATGTTTTTCAGTTGATTTATTCGCCGACTAATTAATATTAAGGGATGAAACAAAGACTAATCTCTGCAATAAGAAAATTAATATTGCGAGGAAAGTCGCGGCGCTATGAAAAACTCTGCTCCTAATTAACATTGAGGAATGAAACCAATGCTGTTCGATGGAGAATTAAATTCCCCATCCTTCAACCCCCGTTT